CAGCATTCTGAATAATGCATAGCAAAATTGGAAATATCCTGCAGAGGCCCCATGCAGAAACTGCATTTTGGTTCAACATCTCAAAGTTATCAGTAACAGAGCTACACCTGATTGAATAATGAAAGCAAAATGTTAAATTTCCTGGAGCTAGAGTAATGAGAACCCTGACACAGTCTAATCAGTTCTTTGGCCCTGCATTATATGTGCACAGGGTTCTTGTTTACTCTGAAATAACAAGCCCTCCAGGGCAGAGAACAGTCACACACTGTCACCCTTCACAAGTATGTTATACCCTACCAAGAGTAAAGCCTCTGTTGGTAAAAAGGTACAAAGTTCAGCCACAGCACAGTCTTTCATTTCTTGGTGTTATGGAACCCATTGCTTTCCATGTAGATCCTTGCCCTGGGCTTTGGAAACAGCTCCATCACAACAGTAAGTAGAAAATAATTTTTGAGGCTTTCAGAAAGGAAAAACTGCTTATGTATAGTTCTCAACATTGTAGGAAAAAAACTACTGTCTTCCTCTCAGTTTGTGTTCAAATGACTCTAGAATTATCTAAACAATATAGTCAAATGGTCACTATTTCAAGTATTTGAATAAATATTTGTCCTTTCTTGTCTTTTGAATTCCTTTTGGTGCTTAAGCAAAACAATTTTCATATTTATGATCCTATACAGTAAGAGCAAAACAAACACATCTTCAAATGGCACAAACTTACTTGTTATCCTACCTCACAGTTCATAGCCTTAACTAAAATGTCAGAATAAACATTTTGAGATAAAACTGTAATACACTTATATGCTCATTTTGTGGGTTTGCAAAATATATTTTAGAAAGGATTTAGATGATTATGTTGGGCATAATTAGAAAATATGAATTTGTATTGATAAAGGTTGGATGCAGATAAAGCAAAATTAAAAATTCATTGCAGAAGTAAAATATTTTCAGTTCATCTACACATAGCTGTGTGTTAACAGATATTCTAACTTGTAAAAAACATATCCCCACTGAGACTATGGATATGGCATATTGAATTCCTGAACTTGTCTACCACTTTCTTCTCATGCAACTGTGACCTGTTTTCCTCATTCGTGATGGCCCTCACTGTGATTGTGCAAAACAAGATGTTACTGAGAGCTATGTGGAAGAGGCAATATTTGGTGAATAAACAGGGGCTCTGAGGAAATCAATTATATTGCGAGTCATGAGCAACAGACAAAGGTCAGCAGGACCTGCCCTCACTGTAATGGCTCACTGGGGAAGAGCAAAGCAGGTGGCCCATGTGCCACAAGATAACTTGTGCGTGTCACTACATGAGCATCCACCACGATGCACACCAACACAGAAATGGTACAGAAATGGAAAAGAGCAAACAGGGAGAAGGAATACAAAAATTAAAGGTTGGAAGAAATGCGTGATACATCATGGGGATGAATACCAGTGACACACAGAGTGAGGTTATGAGAAGAGAAGATGAACGCACACTTCACTGTGCACCTTCACACAGCGAGCCAGGTGCTGGGCACAGCAGCACCAGTGCAGAATATGCATAGTAACTTCTGTGTGTGGAGCTGACAGCAGTTTGGTCACTGGCACCTAGAAACCAGGACAGCCTAAGCAAGAAACTTCCCCAGTGTCACCTACAAAAGACTATTTTCTGGTATATTTTCTACATTTCATACTCTACCAAACAAAACCTATTGTTCACTTCTGTATCTGGTAAGGCCACAAACAATTAATTTTTTTCCCCTGTTACCATCTTATAGAAGGCTGTTGTTCCATAGCAGACAAAAGCCACTATAAGCCAGCTACTTGTACTGCTTAATTTAACCAGGCAAATAGAGGGATGGGCTGGAGACCTGCAGAGGAAGATCACTTGTGCAGTGACGTGTTCTTCAAAGGCCTTTCCCATCTGCATGTGCTACCACCAATGACACAGAAACTGCCCTTTAACCTTTCTGGTGGGTGACCTCTAATTCTCTCAGGGAAAAGTACCCACTCTGATACTGTAGCAGCCACTATCAGGCCAACAGAACTCAATTTGTCCTCATTAGTTCTGGTCACATGGGAGTCACTAACAGCTCTTTGTGAGCAGACTGCTTAGGAAGGTATTTATTGATAGATTCCAACACCTCACACAGAGTAATATCATGTGAAACAGTATTACTACTATACATACTTGCTCCTTAAGGTGTCCAGCAATACCTTGATTTGTTTCCAGTGGGTATTTAGGAAAATACTCTCATGATTTACAGACCAGAATAATATCCAGAGAAGAACACCAAAATGCTACACAATTTTCCATTGTTTATGCTGGCTCTGCATTTATGCCTATATTTTTCAGCACAATATTGTCATAATAGTCAAGCCTGACTACTGACTATGTATAGCCTCAACTACATTTAACCCTTGAAAAGTAGGTATGAATTCAAGCATTTTGTATTGGGTCACAAAAAAATTAATTCTAAAAAGAGATACTGCTATCAAGAAACTTCACCTTACCAAAGTATGTAGCAGGCATGGCTCTAACTAACTTTCATCCAAGGAGTGGCAAAGTTACAATAAGCAGGCAGGTACAAACCAAGCCAGAAAATCAGTCCATGAACCACCAGAGCCCACAGCTCAGCAAAACCACAAGGAAGCATAAAAGAGTGAAGTTTAAGGCCAGGCCAGGGCTTAAATGGAGCTCCAGCAGCCCTGGGCACAGCGTGGGCAGAAGCCTCAGCTGAGGCTGGTCAAGGTCATGACACTGTTAGTGCATCAGGAGCCCTGACAACACTTTGGAACAAACACACACACATTGCTTACACCTGGATGGAGTTAGTTAGAAGGTACCTGTAGAAAAGAATAACAAAAAGTTTACTTGATTTTTTCCCCTCTGCTTTTTATTGTATTACTTCTTTGTTGTTTTCTTTTTTTCACCTAATTTCACCAACTCAAGATCAAGGGCTTATTAAGATACTTGAAAAAATCCACAATGTTTTTTATTCCAACTTTGTGGCATCTACTAATACCATCTAAATCTTCCATATTGATATTTCACTGTAAAAGGACTATTTGTATAATATTTTTGCTGTGATTTAGTCCGGGATGTGTACCTTTTCCCACATTTCTTCCTCCCCCCCAGTCTCTTAATCCTGGAACATTTCTAATATCTTTAAGCTTGAAACAGTAGGAAAGGATGGCACAGGCTTATTTCTACAGGAATTCCTCAGCTATATTCGTGATCTAAGCAATACAGACTATCAAAGAAGAAGTTAAAAAAAAATCACAAAGAAAAGAATCAGCAACAGATTTTCATTATGCTTTTTTTAGGTTGCCTCCTTCTGTTCTCAGAGGGAGAGTAGGTAAAGAATACAAAAGATAAAACTAGTTCAGACTATTTTTGAACTATTTCTTTCAGCTGTTTTTGTTTGCATTATTACAAAGCCTTGGCAGAGAAGAAAAAATATTTTTAGAACAGCAGATTTCTTGCTTTGTCCTGCATCTGTTCCAGAACCGTACAATGTATTTGAACAGCTGGCCAGTAACATGTAATGATCAAGCATGGCAATGACACACGATCACAGTGTTCTTTGTAGAGGACTGAGGTTTCAAAGCTGAAATAAACCCTCAGATGTACACATCTTGGTCTTAGAGGTACATGTTCAGATCTAAACCATGCTTTTTATTTTTCTTGAATTGAGCTTTCTATTGGCAATGAAGGACAAACAAGTACTCATTATATCAAAATAAAACACTGGAACAGCTCTGCAGGAAAGAATTTCCTGGTGGTGTTGCTCGGACAAGAACCAGAGGAGCTTAATCTGGCTCTGTGTCACTCCCCTGCTGTACATAGCTTTAGAATCTTGAAATTATGTTTTGGGTTTTTATAAAAATGTGTTAAGGAGCTCAGAAAAAAATCCTTGTTATGGATTCACACCTTCATCTGCATCCTTATCTATGCTGTAATTTTGTATCTGGAGCTATAAGTGACTTAATTCTAAACTCCCCAGCTACACTCCCAGGGCAAACTATATTCTCCTATTTTTACCTGCCTGTCCACATATAAAGAGGAGCTTGAAATTATGCCTACACTCTTCATTAAAATCTATCTTTACACTTAAAGAACTCCAAGACGATGCCAAGATTATTTTTCTATGTTGCAAATAACAGCTTAATCTGTAATCTTTATTGGCATTTCTTATAACTGCTACAACAAACACTGTTATTTACAGTTATAGTAATGTTCAGAGATTTTTATGCATATATTTAATGAGTTTCCTACAGCATCTGCTCTCAAAAATTGAAGTAAAAAACGGGTAAATTAAGTAGCTGGTGGAGAAAACTGATGATTATCACTGTTCACATCACTATTAAAGGAGTGCTGAAGCAACCTTCTTACTAAACATCGATTTTTATTAAATGTAATTAGTGTAAGGCTTTACAGACTGCTTCACCCACTTGTCTTCAAGCAGGTTCTCTTTACATCCATTCTTCCTTTTGCTCACACATCAGCTTTTAAGCAGTACACTATGTAAGTGGGATGGCTGACAGGAAAGCTAAAACACCCACAAAGAGCAGAACGGTTATTTTCATCAGCTGAACAATTTGCAAAAAAAAAATCCCAGCCACAACAGGCAGAGCACTGACGCAGCAGCATGCTGGAGTGTGAGCATCACTGCAGCTGTCATGCATCTTCCTGCAGCTGGGATTTTGGTTTCGCCCCGACCCCTTGCACCGGTCTGCGAGAACGCAGGGCTGCGGTAGGTTTTTCCTTCCCCGCCTTCTCCGGGCAGCACCATTGGACTGATAAGATGCAGCAAGGCACGTATGAAAGATAAAGCGGAGTGGGGCTGGGGAAGAAAAATAAAAGTGTATTCTACAGGGCTCGGCCGGGCCGGGGCAGCCGCAGGACGCGGCCCGAGCCCTTTAAGCTGCCCACCCTCGGCGGGCCGGCGGCAGCTGGAGGCTATTTATACCGGGGCGGCGGCGGGCGCTGGGTGTCCTGCGCGGGGCGGTCCCGGCGGCGGCGGGGCCCGGAGCGGAGGCTGCCATGGCCACGGCGCTGCCCCCCACGCCGGCCGGCGGGAGCCGCTCCGCCAGCCGCGCCGCCGAGTCCTCGCTGAGCCCGGCGCGGCTGAGCCGGCTGCAGGAGAAGGAGGAGCTGCGGCAGCTCAATGACCGCCTGGCCGCCTACATCGAGCGGGTGCGGGCGCTGGAGGCCGACAAGTCGGTGCTGCAGCAGCGGCTGAGCGAGCACCAGGCGGGCAGCGACCGGGAGCTGGGCTGCCTGCGGCTCCGCTACGAGGCGGAGCTGGCCGACGCCCGCCGGGCGCTGGATGACATCGCCATCGAGCGGGCCACGCTGCAGGTGGAGCTGGGCAAGATTGGCGAGGAGCACCGGCAACTGCACGTCAGGTCGGTGCTCCGGCCCCGAGCAGGCCTCCCTGGCCGGGGACACCCCGGAGAGCCGCCTCTTCGGGGCTCCTGCAGGATGAGGGGAAGGGGATGCTTCTGGCAGGATTCCGTGGGTTGTGGGAGGAGGGCGTGGTGATGTTTCATGTCCAGGTCGTGCAGGCGTGGTAATCCCGAAGGTGTTGTGCTCTGGGGTTAGCAGACATCTGGATGCCGGTTCTGAAGGTGTGCTGGGGTGACGCTGCTGAGTACCTCCGATGCTATGGGGTCACATCAGCACCTGCCTGAGATGGGACTCCTACAGAACGTGGGGTGCTGGGTGCCCTTCTGGGCTACGAATGCATAGCTGCATGGGTTTGGCATCACACCTGTGTTTACAAACACTGAAGATCATGGCAAGTATATAGGAAGTTATGGAGCAGTGGAAGGAGTGTTTGTATGGAGTTAGAGCGCATCGTTTTTGGGCTGTTTAGCTCAGACTTTGCCCAGAGGGGAATACAGATAGAAGATAGTTCTGGGAGCAGTATGGCTTACCTGGTCCAGGTTGGCTCTGCTCAGAAGTTTTCCTAGTTGCTTTTAAGTCTGAAATGAGCTGCCTGCTGTTTTAGTTTGACTTTCTTGTAAGCTGTGTGTACTGAGGCTGGAATCATCATCTTGGCTAAGCTCACCAAGCCTCAACAAAGGCAATGTAAGTGCTGTCCATCCTCCAGGAGGAGGAAGAGGTGTGTGAGCAAGTGTCCAATCCCAACAAGCTTCCTTTATAGAAATATAGAGAGGAAGAGTAACTAGCAGGCCCCATTGTACCCTCATACCAGTTATAGACTTGTAAAATTTGGATGTCCACAGTCCCCTTACATCTTGTTATAAACCTGTATCAGAATTTAGGCACCAGCTTCTTCTTTTAATGCGTGGAGGAGGTATTGCCTCCTCATAGACTCACTAGACCTCAAGTAGCTGTTCTAGTTGGGAACAAAACATGTTTTTACTGTCAGCTTCTGTTTTCAGCTGCATAGTTGTTGGGCTTGTCTCTGTCGTGCTGGGTTTTGGCTCACAGATCTGTTCCATAAATCTAACCAGCCACTTGAGTGGACAGTGAGGAGAGGGGTAATGCCTGTTCTAAGGCTTTTCTGCTGCTCTTTGTGTTTGTGTAACTCTGGCTTTGTTTGTAAAGCTTTAGACTTGGCAGATATGCAATTCTCTGGACTGTTGGGTTGGGGTTTTTTTCCCTTACAGTAACTAGGTCTTAGAAGTGGTTAAATTTACAGCCCATGGGGAATGATACATGGTACATTGGTGTCTGAAGGGACTAGCCTGAAGTCCTAATATTAATGTGTGTTGTATCTGGGCTGCCTAACTGCAAATGTCTCAGATGACTTGGAACAAACTTTGAGGGTATCGTGTCCTTAGATATATACACCCTTTAAACAGCCTGGTGGCTGTTTAACTCTCATAGAATGAAATGTTACCAGATAATTTCCTAACAGCATTAACTATTGGTCCTTATTATTCACTGGTTAGGAGACTCAAGGTTTTTGACAACAATAAACTGATTGCATTTGTTTTTTTCTTACTACTTAAACAATGGTGACTGAAACCAGGCCAAAGATGTTTGGGGAGGAGGAATTGTAGACAAACATATTGGTTGAATTTAGAGCCTCAGGAAGGTCAAAGCAACTGCAGTAACACAGCAGAGAAAGACAAGACCAGTTCCTTTCGGCACCAGAGAGTGTGGATATGCATTTTGCTGCTGAACAAACACAGTGTATCAGCTGAGGTTGTAAGAATGAATTCTGTACCTGCTCCTGACATCCTTTGGTCTTGACAAGCTGGAGTCTGTTTCAAACACACCTGAAATCTTTTGGTAAAATTAGTTGAATTCTTCAGATCAAGCCTGTGTGGCATCCTGATTTACAAGGAATGTGATTGGCAGTGCCTTAAAGTTGTAGCTTGTAACTGATAGTCTGTAGGCCACACTTAGCTCTGGAATGGTTGGTATATGGAATGTGGCAGAGTACTGTAACTGTCACTGCTTGCTGCACAGGGGTGTAAAGTGGTGTTCTGAACCCCAAACTTGGATTAAAAGGGTAGTAAATGCTCTTGTCAAAGTCAGACTTGTTAAATTGTTGCCCTTAAAGATGAAATGTCTCACTCCAGGGTTCTTTGAAAATAATATTTTTCAGGAAGGAATCCAGGAAACCTGAGCCTGGCTGTCAGATGCTTACATTGGAAAGTGAACTGTTAAAACAGATACTAATGGAATTTCAGTTTTGCACACACTTTGATTGCAGAATGAAATTTATATTTTGTAGGATGAAACAGTCAGTATTAAGTAGTGTTATTGACATACTTAATATCATATGTAATACATTAAGTGGTAGTGGTAGCAGAGACCCCAAAAGGAAGGTGAATAATACCTAGAAAAAAAAGAAACCATAAATGACAGCACGTTATCTTGTTGTTCACTGTTAGTAGTGCTGTTTCTCCTAGAGTATGAGTAAAGAGTAAATAACTTATAGCACAACACAGCCAACAAATGCCTCTGAAGAGCAGGGCTAGAAAAGGCCTTGAGCAAGCACCTGATGTAGCCACATGCCCCAGGCCTGTGCTGGAACCAGCCATACCTGCATCTCTTCCAGCAGATTCTGTGTAACCCTTATTTTAATTTCCACATGATGGAGATTCCAGAATATCCCCCCCAGGCAGCATGCTTCAGTGGTGAACTGCTAGTTTCCTCTCCCTAACATCTAACCCATGTATTCCTCCCTGCAATTTAAGCCCGGAGCTTCCTGTCTTTTCTGCAATAGACATGGAAAACAGATTCCCTAGCTGTATGCAGCAGTCCTTCATGTATTTAAAAATTGTTCTGTCTCTTGTCACTATTCCCTTCTCTAGACTAAACAACCCTTAGTATTTTCCAATCTTTCCTTGCAATTCAAGCTTTCTAAAGTTGATCAATCCTGCAGAATTACTTTGGACTCTTGCCAACTGGTCTCAGTTTTCCACTGGAAAACTCATTGTATGAGTTGACACAACTTTGCCACTTGGCAGAACTGGTGTTGCCAAAATAAATTGAGGACTTCCTTTACTCTTTGTAATCTCAAATACGAGTTTTGAGCAGGGACTCTGACTCTGGATAGTGGGCAGGCAACTGGAAGGATTTTAAAAGTTGGAGCAGTCTGGGGAATTATGACAGTTCTTCCCTGACAGGAGCTCGTTGTGGGCCGTTCTCTCACTTCTCCACTGCAGGGCCACTGAAGAGTGTTGGCCATCCGGGTGGTACCTGCGGTTCCACTGCCTGGGTATTGGTCTGGAGATGGTCTCTGAAAAGCAAAGCTCCCCTCACCCTGTACCTCCTCTGCGCTGTGAGGGAGGGGAGGGAGTCACTCGCGGCGCTGGCTGAGGGGCTGCAGGAGGCAGAGCCCCGGCGGGACAGCTCCCCGGGCTGGCCGGTGGCCTCCGGGGGACAAAGCTCCCTGTGTGCTGCGGGGAGGAGGAGCGGCACCGCCGGCAGCCTCAGCCGCGCTCCGCCCCGTGAGGGACCAGCGCCGCCGGCCCCGAGCTGCCCTCACGGCCCGGCCGGGGGCATGCGGAGCCCGGGGCCCTGAGGCGCTCCCGGCGGGGCTGGGGCCGCCTTTGCTGCGGGGTGTCCGTGAGGGGTTGTCCGGCCCCGATCGCTGAGCGTGCCCAGCCCTCGCCCGTGCAGCCGGGGGCCTGTGCCGTCCCTTCCCTCTCCCCTTGCGAATGCCGTGGAAAATAGCTGGCTTCCGCTTGGGCTTCGCGCTGAGCGAGCTGGAAAATGGGTCAGGAATCTCTCCGGTGTAACAAATGATGCTTGTCGGAGGGCCCTGTCTGGTTTGTTTTCTGCTCTCACCGTGAGCCTGACAAACCTCTCCTGTCTTTAACCACCGACCCCTCTGAAGGGAAACACATTGAGGACAAATCCTCTCACACTAGCTGCTCTTAACAGTGTAAAACTCTCTCCTGTAGGAATTCCAAAAAAGAAAGTGATTTAAACCTGGCCCAGGCTCGTGTGAGAGACCTTGATGCCCAGCTCAATGCGAAGGAAGCTGATTTAGCAACAGCCCTGAATGAGAACCGGACTTTGGAGAACGAGCTCCGTGAATTAAAGGATCAAGTACTCAGTGTAAGGCTTGCTATTGGAATCTAAACTTGGTTTTGCTCCCGCAGTTTTTGCTTCATTTTCCTCAATTAGTTAGTGATATTAAAAGCAGAGAAGGCCTGGTAAGTCTGACAGTGACAGGTAGACAAAAACCTTGCTGACAGTAAATGCTACTGATGGTGGTTTCCTTAAAACTTCTACCTGCTGTAGGTACCTTTAATTCTATGACCATAGGATGAAATGTTTCTTGTTCCAAAGACAAAGCAAGATGAAATGTTCTGCTATAGTCCCTGCAGCATTCTCTAACACATCAGGGAAGTGTATAATACTGAAAGTGTATATTAATTTGTCAACATATGCTGTATTTGGGTGATTAAATGTAAAAAAAAAAAAAATTATTAGTAGGAAGAAGTTTGGAATAATTAGTTTTAAAGGGGAGGAATATATATGAATAGCACAATTGATTCATCAGAAATCTACTTTGAGGAGTCAAATTTAGCTGGTGGAATTAAGAGTTGTTCTATATTTGCCTTGTGGGAAATCTAGTCTGCATAACAATTAAATAGGATTCTATCTGTTGTTGATATCTGGATCCTACTGACATAAGAACTTACACAGAGTAACCCACTTCACTCAACCAGTGTGTTTTGATTGCTGGGGTAATTAAGTTGAATGATCTGTAGCAAACTGGCTGCCTAATTTGAAAAAAATACCTCTAATTTTGATAACCCTGTTGTCTGTCTTTTCTAGCTGAATCTGTCACTGGAGGATACTAAAAAGCATCTCCACAGTGAAATGTTGAGGAGGGTGGACCTAGAAAACCATATGAAAACTTTGCAGGAAGAAATGACGTTCCAGAAGCGCCTTCATGAAGATGTATGTTTTAGCTTATTAACAAGGCATCTTTTTAGGTGTCCATGATCCTTGGATGCACTTAAAGCCCATCTTAACATTACTTTTTTTCTCTAAAAAAGGTAACTAGCAACCTGTGGCAGCCCACGAGCTCATAAAATCCACCTAAATAGGAAGGCTCAAGAAAGTACTTAACCTCATGTTAACTGGGATAGTACCAATAGGTATCTGGGATATGAGAAATTTCTTAGGCTGCTCTTCTAAAGAGAACTTAAATCTGAAATATTATTTGTGGAAGTTATAGTGCATATATTAGTTACTGTCAAATGATTCCAGATGTTTACTTGAAGCCTAAAGAGAAGTTAAATCTCCTTTAAGCAACTTGTGCTCCCAACTTTCAGCACTTCTCAGAGGTGTCTGGTAACCTTTGTGAGAGAAGTCAGTACATACAACTAAATGAATAATTTATATATAAATGTAAACCAGCTTCCTGCTTACTGGTAGGAATATCGAAGTGTACAGTTTGATAGAGAATTCTAATTTTTCTAACTGCTATTACTTTTTGAATAAAGAATAGGTGAAGTAACAGTGCTTAAAGAAACTGAACTGTATATGCATGTGTTCTAAGTTAAAAAACCAAACAATCTATCTAGTTCAAAAAATTAGTCTTGAAAATTAAATATTTACTACATTTTAGTTTAAGTAATGTTGGCAGTGAGGTGGAAAAACAATAGTGAGGCAGCAAGGTGGATGTGCCAGTCATAATGGATGAAGAAGATATGCATAAAGGTGAATTACTGTGTACTCAGTGATAAATCTACTTCAGTAGAGATGGATTTGTGAAGCTGGTACACTAAATCCAGTTTCAAACTATATTGGCTTGTTTATTCTCTGAGAAATTTCTTCCAGGAGCTCAAGGAGACAAAAAGAGTCCATGAGAGCAGGATAGCAGAAGTAGAATCTGGCCGTCAAAGAGAATTTGAGAGCAAGCTCTCAGATGCCCTGCAGGGGCTCAGAAAACAGCATGAAGAACAAATTCAAGGCTACAAAGAGGAGATGGAGCGAACATTCAGTGCAAAGGTGAGTTTGGAAAAGATGACAGTAAAACTAAACTGAAGTTCTCTGCATCTTGACATAATCAAGGTCACACTGGCAAAGACAGCTGATAGATGGAGCCCCTGCATTCACTGCACAGCTTCCTGGCATAAGTTGTTCTGGGATTTCAAAGCAGCGTCAGATTTGACAGTAGGATTTCTGCAAATATTTGATCCCAAACAAAACTGGTTCAAGGATAAATACAGGGAGGGATTAGGAGTTGATCATATTTCAGAGTTCTGACAGATTCAGGACCAAGGTGTGTTATGTTTGTATTAAGCAATTTCAGTCTTGAATAAAACCTTACTTTTCCTGCACACCAACTTGTATGCCAACTCAGGGAACTCCTTTGGATGCCTGTGCTTGTTTTCATGGAAAATTCTGTAACTGCCTCTTCAAGGAGCACTTTATCCTTTCTTGGGATATCTCAAGATTGAGGTATTTGTGGAGCAATTCAATGCTGCTTGTAAAGATGCAGGAACTCTTTAATAACAGACCTTTTGGGGAAGAGTGATAATAGTTTGATTTGTACACCCAATATCCTGCAGCTCTATGCTTTGACAAGCAGCTTCTAAACATTTTCTCCATTGGTCTTCTGGAGAATCAATTTACTTAATATCCATACAAATCCCTCATACATTACTAATTGAAATATCCTAATCCAGAAATTTTCACTACCTGATTATTGCTGACTTTTTCTGACATAAATGTCAAATTTGTGCAAACCTCCGTGGAAAGCAATACAGAACTTTCTGACCTGGACTTTATTAGTATCTGCACACTTCAGTACAAGATAACTATTTCCAGGTGTAACAGGTGAAAATTATTTGGTGCTCCTTCCTTGTTTATAATACATGCCAACGTGCAACTCAGGACTAACAGTGACTTATCCACAGGTGGAGAACGCCCAGCTAACTGCAGTAAGGAACAGTGAGTTTGCCAGTGCTGCTCGGGAGGAGCTGATGGAAACACAGAAGAGAGTTGATACTCTGATATCTCAAGTTAATCAATATCAAAGCCAGGTTCTGTCTTTATTTGTATAACCTTATAATTATTTTCATTTACTCTCAATTCAAAATACTGGCCTTTTCTCTCTTATCTTCACTATGGTTTGATTTTTTTCCCCCTCCCCTTAATTTTAGAATGTTGCTTTGGAGAGCAGAATAAAGGAGCTACAGAATTTGCTGGATTACGATCGTGATCTCCATCGAAGGCGTATGGCTGAAAAGGAGGAAGAAATGGCACAAGCTCAGAAGCAGGCACAAGCACAGCTGGAAGAGTATGAGCATCTCTTAGATGTGAAACTGGCTCTAGACTTGGAAATAAATGCGTACAGAAAGATGTTGGAAGGAGAGGAACAGAGGTGGGTTATGACAAGATCTTCATTATGAGAACTTGCTTCATTCAAGACCTCTACACTAACTCTTTGTCCTTCAGAATGTGGGGGGACAAGAAACAAACATTAATCATGTCATTAATATAGTAATTCAATTACTGAAGCATCATCTTCTGTAAATGGCATTTATGTCCCATATCTACCACATGGTATAGGAGGATGAAGTAACATCATAAATACAGCTGATAAAATTCAATGGTCCATTGAACATTCCTCCACTCTCGAAGTTTTGTGTTGAATCTTAGAGCATTCAAGTTCCATGAATGAAGCTGGGAACTTGGACCAACTCCTGTCTATGCAGACATGGTATGGTGAGAACAGGAACTCTCAACACATGCTAGGAAGGGTCAAAAACTCAATATGACTTTCACTAAAGGTTGTGTCTGTTGAGACTTTAAAGGAATATTTAGTGCAGTTGTGAATCTTCTCTTATCAATATAAGCCTCTTCTGGACTCTGGGGCCGTCTTCCAAACTAAACAAACCACTTAGCTACTCTTGCCAATAAAAGTAAAATTTTGTATTCAAGACTCCCTGGAAAGCTTGGATTATAGGGAGCTGTTAGGCTTGGATGTAGTGGGAGGGTAGGCATGAGAAGAAGTAAAGCACATCAGATACTCAGGTGAATCTTATCTGACTCTCTTCTAGGCTAAAGCTGTCACCCAGTCCATCTTCACACAGCACAGCAACTCAAGCAGCAAGTCAGGGGCGACGATACCTGCATGGGAAGAAAAGGAAAATCAAAGAAACCAAAAAGAGGGAGCATAGTGCTGCACTTAAGACTATCCAGCATGTTTCAGCTACTGGAAATATATCTATTGAAGAGATTGATGCAGATGGGAAATTTGTCAGGCTTAAAAACCACTCTGATGAGGTACTTCCATTTTCAAGTCTGCATTGTAACGTATGGCTGCTCAGGAATGGCTTTGGCTTAGTGACAGACTAGAGAGTGACCTTTTGGTACTGCAGGTGCTGTGTTCCCAGGGCTGTCTGGGAGGTGCTTTTGGGTAGAGGTGCAGGGGCTTCTATTCTGCAGAAATTGAACACCTTCAGCTGTTTGTCATCAGATTAAGGCTAGCACTACCAGTACTACTGACCCTTGAGGAACCTAAATAGTGTGCTCTAGTAAATTGGAGAAAGATGGCTTCACATTAGTCAAAAATACCTAAATCAGCTAAGAGGTTGAAGAGAGTTGGTGGTATCTAATCTATGCAGAGGGTTCATCTGGCCAATTAGCCAGTTCTTCCACTAGTTTAGTTTGAAAATCCAGAACTATCAGAATTCATCATCAGGACTTCAAACGTATGGCTTATAGTTTAGCCATTTCAGCCTGAAATACAGAATGACCCATGAAGTTGTAAGGTGTTCCTATATATATCTATATATATATGTAGTTGGTAGGTGGCCATGGCAAACTTCATTTATCAGAATCTCCCTGGTAAAGAGTATCATGACCCTCCCATTAATGGAAGGTAAGAATAGTTGTGGCTTAACTTGATGAAGATATATCCTAAAGTATAGGGAGAAAACATAGGGAGGCTTTAATGGAAATGTGGCTGCTTCCTCAAAATTGTCAGATACTTGTATGCTACATGAGTGGGATTAAAACTGGCCCATGAGTCTGGAAAGAATCTTGTGTTTGAATTTTATGGTGTTGGTCTGTAATGCTGAGAGAAATTTCTTGTCCCACAGGATCAATCTCTACATGGCTGGGTGTTGAGACGACGTATTGGAAGTGTGGCAGATGTTAATTACAAGTTTCCTTCAAGGTTCACTCTTCAGGCAGGCCAAGAAGTTACAGTAGGTATTGGATTTGTAAAACTTCCTCAGAGCTCTGTTCTTATCATAGATGTCAGTAGAGATTCCTGTAAAATGGAAAACTAAACAGATACTCCAAGTGTCTAAAGAATTAAAGCTCTTATTTTATGTGTCAATAGATAGGGGGGAAATCCTTGAAGCAACTTGATCTGAAATGCTAATTACATTTCCTTTAAAGCTTGGACTGAACTTGGATCATCCCAGACTGGAGTGTGCTCCTACTGTAAACAATCGTTGTATTCTAGGGGTTTTTTTAAAAAATAAACTGTGACTTGATAAAAGTTGTGCAGAGACTCAGACTCTTTTTTTTTAGGTTTTCCCATACTCCTGTGACTTGATAAAAGTTGTGCAGAGACTCAGACTCTTGCTAAAATCTTTAGCCTACTCCAGGTCAGCAATGCTGAGGTCATGATTTGTAGTACTAAGAGAAATACTAGCTCTAAAATCATACTCTAAGTACATGCAGATGGTGATCAAAGAGCTGAACTCTACACTTTCTACTCCAAACTGTGGAGACGTTTGTTCAACAGATCAGTGAGTGACTCTAGTGAGAGGCTCTTGCACACACAAGTGGCTGCCCTGAGCAGGTCTGTGACTATGGCTTGGCTCTGTGACTCAAATGTGTGGCCAAGCAGGACTACCTCTACATTGGACAGAAGCTGTTAACTGCCTTTTCTGCACTGTTTTACAATCTTCAGTTAGAAAAACTTTACCAACCATTCTTGTAAGTCCCGAAAAGAACTACCTTGCCAGGAATTACAGTGGTTCAGTTTCTCCTACTGGACATCTGTGGTATTAAAATACTTAATGATTATATATGTGCAGCTGAATTGTAATCTAACTATAGAAGAAGATTCTTCAGAAGCTCACTGTAAATCTGTTGCAGATCTGGGGTGCAGCTGCTGGTGTTAGCCCAGGTCCTAGTGATTTGGTCTGGAGGTCTCAGAAGTCTTGGGGAACTGGAGATAATATTGGTGTTACACTCATCACAGATAATGGTGAGGTAAGTGGAATAATAAAATGCTTCTACTGTCCTAATGCTAAACTTGTTTGTGCTTAATTCCTGTGGGGTCTTGGTGACAATTCAATTGTATTCTAGGAACTTGCAGAGAGGAAGATAGTGCTTGTACCCAGAGAAGAAGAAAGTGAGCAGGATGATGATTATGAAGAAATACAGGTAAGCTGCCTGAAGTTTAAATATATGCTGTCAGCAGAGTCATTCAATGGCCATTTCTTTTCCTTACTAAATGAAAATACTTCTCCAAGTACTCTTCCTATCCCACAACTCTTAATGTTTTTCTTGATGTCAGACCAAAAGAAGAAGAAAAAAGAAATGTTGTTTGGTTTCATGATAGTGGTCCCTGTGAGCATCCTTAAGCAGGTGAGATGGTGAGAATCATGCTTGTCACCTCACAGAAAACTTGCTTCATCAGTAGTGTTGCAGTCTCTTGTCCCACGTAGGATGTAGCTTGCATGGCTTTGCATCAGAAACGCAAGTTCTGCTTATTCTCTGAGTATGATCAAACATCAGCATTAATTGTTTGCTATCTTATTACTGACACACTGAAAATTCAGTCTTTAATATCCATTTCATCTACATATCTGACTGTGAATTAAAGCTGTTATCCCAAGAACAGAATGCAAACGCTAACTGCTTCTGTGGGATGAAGTGACTTGACACTCCAGTGTCCTTAAATTGCTTGTAAGACAATTTCAGTGTGAACTTAAGGTCAATACACTTAAAAACTTTTGGCTACCAACTTTCATGGTGTAATATCCTGTGCAAGACTATCCAGCCCCCTCAAATGTCTTTTGACTGACCAGAATACAAGCCTGAACTGATGCATTTTGGATGCTCCTACTGTACTTTGATATACTTTTAGCTATCTTTAATTGCTGAAATGGTCTAAACCAACTAATATGAGGGCTTTGAGTTTGTCCCAACCAAACAATTATAGACTGTACTTGACTCAAGTTGGTTTGTGTCTTGACCTGAAACAGTACTGTGGTACAAACTCCAAAGCCTGAGAGCAAGGGGATGCTTAGCTAAAAACTCTCTCCTTGCTGACAAATGTTCAGCTACTGCAGCTCTTCCTAAAACTAACCCCACACAGTTACAAGGAGGAGTTGCATATTGCTGCACTAGGTTAAAGCTCCCACTACCATTTCCTAGATATTTTCAAAATCTGTCTGAAAACTAACTTAAAAGTACCTTAGTACTGTCTTTCTGAAAAAAAATTACCTAAACAGGCAGTTACTGCCTGCTGGTTTTTTATTTTGGTTTTTTGTCCTTTCTAACAGAAAATCTGGGTAAATATCTGTTACTACAATACCCTGTTTGTCAGTCTCCTGACTTGCATGCACATTCTTGTAATATTTTCAGTCTCACTGAAGGATGGTGATACCCCGTTGAACAGGCTATTGAGAAGGTCTATAATGCTGTTCTGCCCTTTGGCTCTTACTGATACAAGCTTCTTTTCACACTCAAGAGTAGGGCCTCTCCTCAAGGATGGCTTCTTTTTATTTTAAAAGGCATTTTTTTAAATTTACTTATATGACTTGTTTAATAATCAGTGATGGCAAGCAAAAGTAACTTTTTTCCTTACACTTCTAATCTGTTTTATCAGCAATTTTACAATACAGTTGTGTGCCATTTATGGTAAGAATCAATTCTAATACTTCCAATCAAATTTTAATGTCATTCCTGTCTGCTGCCTTGGTAGTACTGAAATGGCTGCTTAGTAAACAGAAGTTAACTTGTTGTGTGCAGTAAAGTAATGGTTAGAATGCATGCTGTGCTTTAAAGGAAGGCAGGGTTTCCATGTTTTGCTTCTGCTTTTACCATCCTAATGAGGGCAGCACGTATCTGCATGCCACACAGGTTCTGATGCTTGGGAAGAGAGGAAGTGATGGGCAGTTTGACAGCCTTTCATTTAGGAAGGCACAGGCTCGTATATTGCATGGACTTAAAGACTTGTGTAGTACAGTTCATGTACTGCCTTCTGAAAATCTGCTTTGCTTTATTAATAAGTAATGAAATCTACAAAGTGCTAAAAACCCTACCTGCCTATATGAGGATCAAGTAGGAAACCAGCAAGAAATATTAAGTTTGTACACATGCTAATTAGCCTAATGTTTTCATGTTTTCTCTCTGCAGCAAAATGAAGATTCCAGCTGTTTGGTCATGTAATGTGGACAATAATCTGAAAACACATCTCAGTCCCAGGTGACACAGACTGTATGTGTATTGATACCTTTTGTCATATCTGGAATTTGGAACTCACATATTCCATCTGATGTCTTTGTGAGAAGCATTGTCCATAACATGATGGAATTTCCTGCCTTCTGATTACTGGACCCTGGCCTTGATACAAAGAGCAGTAGAGTACAAGCTCCATGTGAAGTTGTTTTCACTTTTACACAAGGATCTGGTTTCTGTGACCTGCTGAAACAGAGAAGGGTACAGAGTTTACAAAGCTTCTAAACATGTGCCCTAGAAGGATGTTAAATACTTGACAATGAACATGAGGCTGCCTCCGCTTTCTCAATATTCTGACATGGAGTTCTCCAAAGGTAATTTCTCTTTCCAGCCTGAGTGGGAAACATGGGACTGATCACACCTTTGCACCTTGAGCAGGTCTAAAGTAAAACACTGTCCTGAAGAGTGATGAGTGGTCTGAAATGTTTCCTGCTCAGATCCTGATGCAGAGATACATAAAACTGGTCTGGATCACTTCCTCGAGTGAAACACTTTAGAATTAAAAGCAAGTTGTCAAAAATATTCCTGCCTGTTATTAAATGTACTGTTCCTATAGTCTAGCACCTGGAAGTCTCCGTTTCAGTATTGTATATTCCTAGGTACAGTGTATCACAGCAGAGCTGTACCAGCCTTAACTTAGACAAATGTATCCTGAAAATGTGAAAAAGCATCTCATTCTGACAGAGCAGGTACTGTGACCTGTGCTGCTGGCACGGTTTGATTGGTCCCAGCAGCTTTCTAAGGGGCTAGAGAGAAACATGCTAAGTCAAAAATCAAAGCTAGAAAGCTCCAGCTGTAGTGAAAAACACATCAAACTCTCTGCTCTTGGAGTCGTATGTGGCTTATGGAGCTAAATCTCCATGCAGGCTGCAGCTGTGTGTCTAATGGGACAGCTGGGGAAAAACTGGTTATGGGCCACTGTGCCGCTCCCTGTCACTCTGGTAGCTCTGTGCTCCATGGAATGCTGTCCTGTAACCCTCAGGAGGGGACAGTCAGCCTCGGGGGCACTGCTGGCACTCTCTCTCCTCCAAACTGCTCCCCTGCTGGCCCCGGGGGCAAGGAAGGGCTTTGAGCCACATGAAGTAAACTTCCACCTGAGAGCAGGAGGGGAGGGCAGCAGCTGAGTCTGCAGGTTTCTCTCAATGCTGGAGTAGTGTTTTGACTGTCTTTTATCTTGCCAAAGTGTTCAGTTCCAAATTCAAGACCTGCTTTGTGTGAGGATGCAGGTGCTAAGGTGAGATTTTCCTTATGCTAGCTTAAACTCTTATATTATTTAAAAATTCTGATTTTGAGACATCAATAGTAGGTGCTGGTTTAAGACTTGGATTTTAGCAGATCCAAATTCTTGTTCCATCTCAAACAATAGAAATAGTTGCTGCTCTAACTTTGCTGTATTTATCTTTATTTCTTAAAACTTTTTTAACTATTGAAGATATTTTTCATGTATATAAAAGCAGTCTTGGATTTAAATATTTGCAGATTAAATAATAAAGGTCTGTCTGTTCAATGATTTCTGTTGAGTGGTTCAAATGACTTTGAAGTAATAAAACTGGTGATTTTAGGGACTGCAGAGAGAAGAAACCTTCAGCAATGCACTCTGCCCTCCTTTTCATCACTTACTTCAACTAGAGCTGAACTGCTATGAGCTTAAGAGGAATCTTCAGTAAACAACTTCCCTGTAAAGAATTCATTTCTCTTCTCATAAATTTGTCTTCTGTGGAGAGCAACTGGCCTCTTCCTCCAGGGCTGCTCACTTTGTTTGGTCACTATTACATTACTAAGCAAAGCAGGAGATGGTAAACAAAACCAAAGTGATTCTATCTGCATTGGGATAAGTACTTCTGATGCCAAACTTCTTCCTTTCTGTTATGTTTTTAGTTATTACATGTCTTTCCATCACTGCCTATTGTTCTTTCTCTTCCTTTCTATCCCTTTCAACTAAATATAAGAAACAGAAAAGTATTGACTTCTCATTTGTGTGTAGTAGGCACCAGTGCTACTCACCCCTTTCTCTCACTGGAGTTCTCTACAAACCCTATGGAACTAGGAGCAGTTTGTACTTAGTTCCAAGGAACTTCTCTCTTTTCCTTCTGCTAGAAAAAGATGTTAACAGACATAAATGCTAAACAATCAATCAAGAAGTAGCAAGATTATTAAAATTGCAGTGCAAAGGTGTCATAAAACCAATACTTTCTTTATTCATGCATTGTTTTTGTCACTGAAAGCTGATCTATTCAGCAGAAGTGGCCTCCTGCTCAAACAAGTGCCAGAACCATCAGTACAGAAGCAGCAACTACTTTGCTTATCCCACAGAAATATTTATTCAGTTTGGTCAGTAAATTATACCAATTTTAAATGCTGAGAACTTGTACTTAGTACAACATCATCTTAATATTGACAACAACCACTTTGCCTTTTGTCAACATACAATGCAAAAGAGGAATTAACTTGTTCACAATAAATAATGGTGTGATAGATGAAAACAGCTCAAGGACATCAGTAACTTAGGAACTGGTTACAGTTAGCTTCACTAACAGTATTTTTTAAAATGGTTTTCAATAGTAAAATCATTGCAGCCAAAGATAAAAAAAAAACCCACATACAATTATAGCAAGGAAATGCATTTTTGGAGCAACAGTGAGCTACCAGTAAACACTTCATACAGTGATCTTCAAGGCACAAAGCAAAAAAACTGGGTATGGGTTTTTTTGCAGGTTGACAAATCAGGGAAGGTGAAATTTTTTTGAATATAAAATAAATACATTTTAAAAAGACGCATACAAAAGTCAGTAAGTCAGTCAAATAGCAAGGCTTTCACAGAATGCCACACTGACAGAACATTTGTGAATCCATTTCAGTCATGAAATCATGTTCACAGCTTGAATGACACGATCACTGAGGCAAGGGAACTATCACTTCAACATAATTAATGGGGAAGAAGCCAGACTCTCCATTTAACATCCCCTCATACCAATTCTCATCAATCTGATTGGTCAAAGTTATGATGTCCCCTTCCTTAAATCCAAGCTCGCCTTCATTTTCTGGCTCAAAGTCATAGAGAGCTTGGCAGCAAGGCTGATCCATGTGCACTGAAGAACCTGCCCCAGTGACAGAAAAAACAACCACATTAATTGAGCTTCACAGCATCCCACCAGCCCCTAAGCACAAAACAAGCGGTCACAAATGCAGCCCTGCTGTCATGTCAGCAGCAACAGCTTTTCCATTGCTTTTATTCATTAGCATCTGGTGCTTCTACATGTAAAATGCAAGATTAGTGACAATAAGTTTAATACATAATTGTTCCTTTAAGTTCAGATGCTACTCCTCTTTCATTCCTAGCTGCCTTCCCTCGCAAAAGGATGTTTATCTCCAAATGAGGGTTTGAGTAATCAGTTGTCAAACCCCATGTGCTCTCTGTGGAGCAGCTGCCAGAGCAATCGGAAGGGCAGGAGTGGAGGAAGCAGAAAAGTCAACAGGGGAAATGACACGGAATACTTTAAACAAATGGCACTGCAGCCATTGGTCCTGTGGGAACACCTTCCAGGGGCAGGGGCTCCTGCTCTGTCCTACAAACACAGCCCCACAGGCTGAGGCAGACCCCTGGATTTTCACACCACACGTGCCGTGGCAGGAGTGAGGTTCCACCCTCACCTGAGCAGTGACAGTTCTGGGTTACTGCTCCCTGAGCTCGTGTGCTCCACTCCTTTATTTTACACATCCTCCATCTGAACTAAGGCAAAGGCTGTGGCAGGAACAAAGGCACCTCACCTGTCAAATTACTTTAGGGATGAAAACTGTTTTCTGATACAGTATCTGGCCGTTCTCGTCATTGGCAATGTTTATTCCAAAAAAGATCTTAATTTCAAATCACCCTTAAACATTTTAAAAAAAGTTAACCTTGTTAACTTGTTAATGCAGTAAATGCCTTTTTTTAAGATACTCTTATGGAGGAGTACTAATTAGCTTGGACTGGTGGTACCAATATATATGTAACATTTGTATTTATGAATAATTAGAATACATTTTATTAGAATAATTATGTTCAAATTGTAAAGCTCAACTCTGTGGTCGAGAACTACTCCATGGTTCAACTGTAGTTCAGCCATAAGAGATTTTTTTAACAACATATGTAACATATCCAAGTAAAAGTCTGGTAATCTGAAATACATTTATAAATGAAGAACAGGAGAAAAGGCTTAATGCTGCTGTCTTGTAAAGAGGAGTAACACACCTTATAGCATGACACCGCTAGAACACTAGTACTTAAATTATTCAGGTTGTCTTATTGGGAACATTGCAGCAAGACTCAAATAGTCCAGTCCTTGAGTCTCCCAGCTATCCTTCTTTACTGGGTAAACTTGCATGTAACTGATAATGCAATACAGATATAACAGCTAAAATGGAAAAAATGCATTTTAACCTGTTAATCATGGTAACACATAGGAAACTATCAAAGAGTAACTGCTCAGGGATTTTCTAGATAAAAGAATTAAAATTCTCTAAAGGAAACCAGCTAAGAACCAGTGGTGATCACTGAGAGAAAACAGACAGGTGAAAGCATCTTTTTAACCGACAATAATACAATCGGCGGCAATATCTGCTGTTAAAACTGGAAAGTAGGAATTGCTTTTCTCTTTTGTGGGTATATTTTACCCTTGATAGCAACAGAAGAGAGCTTTTATTTACAACAATGGAAGAGAAGTGCCAACAGAGACTAAGTAAACCTTCCTAGAGCAGCACTCTCACAATGCCAGGCTCATCCTCTGGAAGGCGCAGGGTACTGACAAAGTCCTACAAGAACCAGCTGCATTAGAGCTGCTCTAATACTCTGGTACAGGGGAAAGCTTGGTTGTCATATATTTGCTGAAGGACTCCATGCAGAAAAAGAGATGATGAGCCAGTTGCCCAGCAAAAGTGGACGGATTGTGTTTAAAAATAGCAGAGTTATTTTCAGCCTCTGCCAAGGTAGAAGTGCTGTCAGCAGCAGAAGGCGCCGATCGCGGTAATTGACAGAGGCGCTGCCTGCAACGC